CGGTGGAGATGCGCGGGGTGCTGCTGCGGAGCGTGCTCGCGGCCCTGCTGCTGCGCGGTGAGTACTGGCCGGCTGCGGCCCAACCGCCGGGTGCCGGCCGCGGGCTGGGCGGGATCGCGGGGCTCGGAGCCCGCTCCCGTCCCGCAGTGGCCGCGTGAAGGCATGGAGCGAGCCAGGCGCGGTGCGGAGCCGCGGCGGGCTTTGTGCAGGCGCTGACCCGCGCCGAGGTCGGGGACTTGAGCTGAGGCGTCCGGAGCGCTGTCCCCACGCTCGGGCGCCCACGTCCTGCGGGGTCACTTCACTGCTCAGCTCCCTCGGCGCCCCGAGCCCCAGACCTGCGGCTGGAGCCGGGAATGGGGCTTGGGCCTGGGACCCCAGCCTCAGGCAAGGCGAGGAGGGCTTTCTTTGTAACCTTGCCAGGGTGGCGGCTCGCAGCCCAGAGGCGCTGGGACTGTCTGGTTGGGCCAGACCTGCCTGTGCGCTGAGGTGTGCCGAGCCACTGAGGTCGCGTCGTAAAAGTCAGGATGGAACACTTGCAGTTCAGGGCAGAGAGAAGGTGTAATTATAGGGTTGGACTCCTGGGCCCATCTGCTTGGAATTACAGAGCAGTTTTAATCTTTGGCTGAAACTTGAAACAAATCAGAGCCAATGAGAAGATCAAACAGCAGCTGCCACACACGCAGGAAAGGAAAGAGAGGGTGAGATAGGAAACGGAGAATTGGTCTCTTTTAAAAAGTGGTATTCTGTGAAGAAAAAGATAGGATGACCAGGTGATTTTCAGATTTAAAAAATGACTGGAAAATTTGGCATCAGCAGGATTTTTCACCTAAAGGTGCTGCTGTTGAGCTGCAGAAGGAGCTGTCAGACCTGGTCCTGTGCCGAGCATTCCCTCCCTCTTTGTAGAGGTGGGGTTGCCATCATCCTGCTCAGCTCCAGCAGGGATGTCCAGGAGCAGCAGGTATGGAGAGTCCAAGCGTATCCAGATGTGTCCTTTGGCCTAGCCCGTTCAAAGATCTCCCACACTGCAGAGTGGAGTCCCTGGTAGCTGTGTGGCTGGAGAGCTGAGTGGAGGCTGTGGACCTGGAGTAGTTGATGGGGCCATCCCAGCCACGTGTGAGGGGCAGCCGGAGCTCCAGCGGAGAGGGTGTGGAGGGAGCAAAGGGGGCTCTGCCGTGTTGGTGGAGAGCACGGATAATCTGCACAGAGATGCGACCAGAAAGCTTCAGCGCTGAGTGTTATTGCAACAAAAGTCGCCCAAACTCCCCACTGAGATGCAGCAGGGAGTTTGGCGTTGCTGAGTGCAGGAAATAAACAGAGGGCTATAAATGCTCAGGCAGGACCTAAGCCTGTTTTGTCCCAATTAGTAGGGTCATGTAAGGCAACAGAATAAAATCAAATATTTCCCCCACCTGATTTTTACCAGACTGAAGTATTTTTAACAGAAAATGGGTATAAATCAGCCTAACTGAAGAGAATGGTTTGGTGAGTGTTTTGCTTTACAACCAGGACTTTGTGGGCCTTCCTAAGTTCTGCAGTAACAGGAGGAGCTTGATCACTTATTTCAATAAAAGTTTTACTTCTGAAGGAAATTGTCTGAAGTCTTAGAACCTTAGTGAGTTTTTGCTGGAAAGTGGGCGGTGGCATTCGCCAGCCACAGATCCCATCCAGTTGTAGTGGAGGCCTTGAAGGCAGTAATAAGTGACTGAGAATACCTGGGACAGACTTGGACGAATTTCGTTTCCAACATCAGTTACAGATGATGCAATAAGTTAATGAGTGTGCAGTGCCCTCAGGAAGAACCCTGGTGACACCCAGTCTTTGTGAGGCTGTTTGTCCCCTTCTGTTTGAATCACTGCAAGCCAGAACTCACCCCTAAATCCTATTGGTGTGTACACTAGGATCTGGCAAGACTTGAGCCTTGCTGTTTATTTTTACTCTTTTTAAAAACTGTAAATATAGTGTGAGACCCAAGTTCAAAATGCGACGGCGTTAAACTATACATGTCATTTTGCTTTCCTGTGCTCCAGAATCTGAGAGCAATTGCATTTCTTAATCCAAATAAAACCTATTGAGTGTCATGAAGGTATGCAGCTGGAAGATATCCATTATCACTGTTTTCTTTGCTTGGATGAAAAGCCAGGGACTTTCAGATGTCAGATTCTAAAACTCACTCAGCTGGGGGACACAGCTTAGCAGGAGGTGCCCGGGGACCAGGGCAGGGCAGCCTCTCTCTGCTGGAGGAAGCGCCTGGTTGTACGTGTGGAGCCGACGCCGGCGAGCTGTCTTCTCTCAAGCACTGTTTACTTTTGGAATTCATTGAAAGTTTTCTGAGAGGTGGAAATTTTTTCAGCACTTCCCTTTCCTTCAAGCTTATTCTATCAAAACTTTTAAAATCTGCATGGAGACCAACTGAATGCTTAACCAACGAAATGTGAGAAAACATTCCAATGGGGCAAGACAGAAGTTATCTGAGCTACCCCCTTACCAAAGACAGCTTTTGTAACCAACAAAACATTGTCTTCCCTGCACGTTTTTTCCCCTCTTTGTCATAAAAAGAAAATGAAATCTTGAAAAGGAACATGACTCATTTGTACGCAGCAGGGGGCAAGGCCTGAAGCAGATGTTTGTATTCTCAGCTTAGCTTGCTGGGCTGGCTTCACAAGTGTGGCCGAGGGCTTCTCTGAGGGCCTGTGCATTCTCCCCCCCCCCATGAGAAAAGAACTAAATATAGGTGGGTGATATGAGTGATCGTGTGCTATTGAGGGATCCAACGATGACAACTTGATATAATCAATCAAAGTGCAGCGTAAAATGTTCAGAATGGAAATAGAAAAGGATGTGTCAGTGGTAGTGTGGCTGGCAGGAGACGGAGCAGCGCGGGCAGGGTCTCCAGATAAGGCTGCGCCTGGGTCCGATGCTTGCAGGCAGACCCAAGTGCCACTTCCTGCCATGTCAGGATTAGTGGGCTGGCTGCAGATCACTGCTTAGAGCTCTCTGATTTGGGGCGGGCTATTCTGAAATGTGGAGAGAGAGAGGAATAAAGGTTAGAGGAGGGGCAGGTGCCACCCTAAAATGACTGAGGGTCTTCTGTTCCGGGAGAACGTCCAGGTTGCATGGCTTCAGCTGGCTGTGCACTCAGGCTTCGGGCTGAGGCCCGCCACCTCCCAGGGCCAGGCAGCGCGGGGAGGGGCTGGGGGCTGGGGGCTCCCGGAGAATATGCAGGGGGAGGGAAATGCAGGGGCATGCTTTGGAGCTGGGCAGCATCCTGCACCCACACCGCACACGCATGCATGCATCATACAGCACACCTGTGCACACACGCACACCACACACATACATGTCACACCATCACTGCACACATGCATGCACATCATACACCACAGACAAATGTGTTGTGTACATTGCCACATGCATGCACATGCATACTCATACCACACCCCCCACATATACTCATGCACATATATCAGAGTACACACACCAAGCATGCAACATACATGCATGCACAGATATCACACATCACCACATGCATGCACACCACACACATATATTGCACATTGTCACACACACCACACACATATATACATAAATGCACACATATTGTAATATACCACACACAGTGTACACACATACACACATATATTATACATATGCCCCACATACTTGCACACATATACACACATCACACACATGCACACATGCAACACACATACATCATATACACTGCATACATCCATACACACATATGTAGACACCCCCACACATACACAACACACATCATATACATACTGCACACATGCATGCACTACATATACATATACCACAAGCATGCACACATATCACATATATGTCATATATACAAAGCACACATGCCATGAACATGCACCAGGCATGCACACCATAAGCATGCACCATACACATATGCAAACTACATGTGCCAGAGGCACATATATGCATACCACACAGGCATGTGCATATGTATATATATTATGCACAGCACACACGTGAACACACCATGCACATGCATGCATCACACACCACACAATATACACATCTGAACACACCACACATTTGTACACATATACCACAAATCACACACACACACATATCATATACACATACCACATGTACACCACAAGCATATACCACACATGCCAAAATATATGCCACAAACATAAATGCCATATACATACCGCATATATACACCACATATACCACACACACAGTTCCAAGCCACATACCACGTACTTATATGCCACACACTTATGACAGTGCAGACTCAACCCACAAACTCTGTAGCCTGAGCTTCAGACCATGTCTAGCCTGGGGACCTTGGCATTAGATGATACAAAAAAAGAATTCGTCCACTAAAGTTAAATGAAGCCAGAAATTTAAAATGTTGGCTTTTATTTTTTCTCCTAAAGGAAAAAATACTTCTAGTGGGAAGGTGTGTAAACTGGCAAGAGTAGCTCGCTGAAGTTTTGTTTATTACAGAAAAAAAAGACTGGAAAGGAACTTAGAACACAAGACCCAATGGCAGGCGAATGCCACGCGCTTTGCGGTGTGTGTGAACCTTAATCCCCAAAGTGGAGCCCTGTGCTGGAGTTATCTCCCAGGGGCCACTTCAAAGCACATATTCACAGCAGGGCCTGCTTATTTAATTGCGTGGGGCAATTTCGTGGCTAAGTAATTACCTGCATTTAATCTAATCAGCAGCATTTTATAGATCGCGCTAGTTGTAACTTGAGGCAGCACCCCTCACTTGACTGTCAGGATGCAGGCGGTGGGTGACGTAAAGTACAGATCCCCGCCCGCTGACCCTCGGAGCCCTCTTCCCACCCACAGGCAGCATTCAAATCTTGGCGTTATGCCTACTTAATCTTTCTTTAAAGGAGGTTTTTATTTAAAGTATTAGAGAACATACATAGAAACTGTCCTTTGACATTGTAGCCTGTGTAAAGTAAGTTGGAATGTCTGACTTCCCATCTAGAAAGGCAGGTGAAGAAAGTGGAGCACTTCTCCGTAGGTAGTTCAGGTTGTTGAAATGAAATTGAAAACTCTGGAACCTGAACCTGCTCACTCTGCCCAGAGAACTGAATTCCTTTTCAACAGGTGAGCTGAGTCTTTGCAGCCTAACTTCTTTGTGCCACTCTTGCCCCTAAGAAACTGCTCCTTTGTCATAATAATTTACTGGGCCCAGGCTGTCAGACCCTGGAGTTGGAGCCTGTATTGCGGGAAGTCCTTTGATTACTGCCTTACTCAGAAGTCCCAACAACCAAACACTGTGATTAACCGCTTGCAGTCGGTCACATGAGTGGCCCCCCCAGTGGGGTCTGGCTTTCTCATGAAGTAGGCGACAGTGTTTGCGGCCACTGTGCCCTGGTCAGCGCCCAGCCTCTGGGGCCTTGCTGGTGGTTTGGATGAATGTCCAGGTGGAAATGTGCCTGCACTGCTGCTGTACTTGGCCTGCGCTGATGCTTCACAAGGCTTCCCGGTGCCCAGCAGCTACTGGGTGTGGCAGTCACAAGCAGGCTGTCCCGAGAGCCAGGTGTGTGCTGGAGGCCTCTTGGTGAGAGCGACACTCCTTTCCCACCTCCTTTTTCTCCCTAAGCGTAGTCAGGGTGCTGGGTAATTGAGAGGTGAGTGGGAAGCGATGCACATGTGGTTCAGATGTGGTTTGTCCCAATAGGGTTTCCCTCTGGAACCCTTGCTTTGATCACGTTGTCTCCAGTGTGGCCATTTGCCCTCTAATGAAGTCATGGGCATGCCAGCCTCTGTTCTTGAGAGGAGGCTGTTCTGCAGGCACAGCCTAGCCCCTGCCCCCTGAGCTTCTTGTCTCTCCATGCCACCCACTTCACGATGTCATTCTGTGGGACGGCATCTGGCCCCTGGGGTCTCTGGGACCTCCAGAGTGGAGCTGAGTAAGCTTATTCTTACAAACAAGCTGCCCGGCCTGAGGGATGCAGTTACAGCAGTGGACGGCTGCTGACACAACTCCCATTTTCCTCCACGCGCGGACCTCATCTCTGTAGAGCAGTGATGGTGAATCTTTCAGAGATGAGAGCCAAAGTGTAACCCAAACCCACCTCCCTATCACACTGAGATATTGGCTCAGAGAGAAAAAAAAAAAAAGCAAACAACTTTTACATGAACATTTTTTATCATAAAAGAAAAACTCTTAACCCCTGTGCCATGGGTTTGCCGCCAGTGCTCAAGCCTCCAGTCACTTGTCCTGGGTCAGCTCTGCCAGCTGTCAGGGTCTCCGCGTGCTCCTGCTGCACCTGCCCTCTTGCCAGGCTTTCATTAGGACCTGGCATGTGGACTGTTGTCTCCACAGTTCCTGAGTAACTGAACCACTCTTCCCAGCTTTTCAGTGATTTGCATGGTAGATTTTCTTTCTTGTGTCCCTGATTAAAAGCATGTCTATTCCCTGCCCTGGGTGACTACAGTTTGCGAGTGGCGCCCATGGTGCCAGCCGTCACTCTCTGCCCTGCCCTGACCCTACTGCCTGTCCTGAGCTCCCAGCCTCCTCCCATGCCTGATGCTCTCCCCTCTCCGCTGTCTTCCACACTGAGATCTCGAGACCTCACAGGGCTCCAGGTCAACACTTACCTTTATTCATTCTGTTCTGCCCACCACCAAAATGCACAGACTGGTAGTTGATCGGTATTTATCAGGCTGCATAGATTGGCTAACAATCCGAGAGCCTGGTGGCCTGGGGCCCACCCTCTGCTACAACAGTGTCATCGTTGACCAGACCTTCGACCCTGGTCTTCCTCCTGGGACAGTGTGCAGACTGGCCCTGGATAGCCTTTGACCATTCCTGTAACCACCCTGGTAGGTCAGAGGGACCTTCTAAGGGCAGCCTAGGAGCCTGGTCAGTTTGAATAATCACACTAACACCAGTTCAGAAGCCATTGGCTGGATGGAGGCCAGCCCTTGGCAGTGGGTGGCATCCTCTGCTCATCACCAGCAAGGCTGGAAGCTGGAGGGTGGAGAGGCTAGGTGACAAGAGCAGAGTTCCCAGTGCGTGCTGTCTACCTCTGCCTGCCCCTGTCCAGCGGCTCCAGTGGGCTGCAGTGGGTTGACATTGCCTGCGCCATCCTCACATGATCGACGATGCTCCTGTTGTCCCTTCATCCCTCGCTGCACTCTGTATCTTGAGTTTATTTGAAAGAGGTTGGTTTTGGAAATCGAGAGCAGGCAGTTGAGCGGAGAGTTGTGGTCATTCTCCACCATGTGCTTCTGAATTACACTCTTCGTCCTGAAAGAAAATTCTGCACAGATCAAACTTTTCATGTAACATTGGCAAAGCAAGTACTGACCACAGGCAAGAGTGGCAATCACACTTTCTCACACCCTTCACTCAGCCACATGGAGAGGAGGAGGAGGAGGAAGAGGAGGAGGAGGAGGAGGAAGAGGAAGAAGAGGAGGAGGAGGCTGCTTTTATGTCTGGTTACTGAATGCACTCAGAGAAAACATGCAAAGATGACAAGAGAACTCACCAGGTCTCCTTGAGCAGATAAAAGAAACGTCGGGCTCAGAGCTGCTGTGGATGACTCATAGGTGCCTTGGGACTATTGTTAAGGCCTTGTGTCATCATTGAAAAGCAAGTGTTTTGCCACTGGTAGTAAAGTAATGAAGCATCTTAACCATCACCACAGTCTCGGATTCAGTGAAATCCTTTAAGTGGCAGATCCAGTTTCCAACCTAAGCAGCTCAGCCCCGGAGATTCCTTCCACATACACTGCCCTCCTGGCTTCTGTTCTTTTTCTGGAGAGACTTTCACAGGATGCACATGAATTTACAAATTCACTTTCAGGGCACAGCTTAGCTACGAGATGTTGCATCTTTACTGAAGGCTCTGGGGTCATATTTCAGGCAGAGGCTTCTCCAACTCCCAACACCTCTGGACTGGAAACCAGTGAGAGACCAGCGAGGTGTCAGACAAATGGGGATGCAAAGAACAGCCCTGAAGACTGGCCCAGAGGACATCGTGTAGATAGGTCCATGGTGGGGCAGGAGCAGCTCTTCTGGCCAGACGTCCCAGCTGAACAGCTCAAGGGCAGCATCTTCACTAATCAGAATGCTTTGTAAGCAGCTGGCCTGATAAAAAACAGGGCAAGCTAGGTAATCCCCACACACTTACTTCCTCTGCATCCTTCAGGCCACCTCGACTGGGGAGGTGGACACAGGAGACCACTCTAGGACCAGTGCCTTCCCTTGAGGGAGATGGAGGCTGCTGGACAGGAGGCCCCTGCTTAGTACCCTTGACCTTGCCAAATGACCTCCCTGCACAGATTTTGTGAGTTTCCCTTATTTCCTCCCAGTCTGGGGTCAGTGATTTGAATACCTGTGACTGGTGGGAGGATGGTTTCATTTACACCAAATACAGCACAATCATTTCATTTTGTGTCAGCAGTCTCTTTTCCCAGTTTTCATTTAGTTGAAAAACTCCCATAGCAGCTTTTTCCTCCGAGGTGTCACAGTGTTCCTGTCCCTGAGACACAGCACCCACAGTGTAAAGGAGGAGAGGTTTGATGTAGCTCCTGGTTTCAGTGGACTCAGTCCATGGCTGGCTGCTCCAAGGCAGGAGCCTCATGGTGGAAGGGTACGGGAAAGCAGAACTACATAGTTCATGGTGGCTGTGAAGTGGAGCAGAGGAAGAGCTCCAGGGCGGAAGGGCCAGGGACCAGGAACAGTACCCAGAGTCACACCCCACGACCATCCAGGCACACCCAGGACCAAGCTTTACTCATTTGCTGGGCATCTCTTAATCCAATCAAGTTGATATTTGAGGATTAATGGTCCTAGAGGGAAACCTGAGTCCATCGTGGAGGCTTTCCTCTCCTTGCACCTAGAACTTTCATTTAAAACTGGTTCAATCTTCTGAAGGTTTTGGACACGTGAGGGCAAATACCTGAATGTCACAGACATCTGAATGATCCCTTTTCATACATGACTGTAACTCTGGATCTAACCTTTTCTTTTCAAATGATTTCAGCAACCATGGTTTCTTTTTGAAGTTATGCAGTTGTCTGTTACAAAGCAGATAATTGCCCCCCATAAGTAACATACTAATCAGTGCATTTTATTTAGTTTGCATGTGTTTGTATACTTTTTCATGTATTTTCTGGCTAATGTCTTTTCTGTTAACACAGTGGTCACTACATACACAGAGGGTCCCTCAGGAAGACCGAGCTGTGTGTCCAGCCATGCAGAAGGAATCCCAGAGACGCTGTGCCAGGCATCTGGTCATAACTCCTTTTTTTTTCATTGCTTTATTCAGAAGATTAGGCTGGTGATAGCTTGGGATAAACTTTGGGAAGCCTAAATCACTTGGGGTAAAATAAACTTAGGTCTAGTATTGCTTTACTCCTGGGAAATAGACATACACCATATTCTTACAGTTATTGTTATTAAAAACTTTACATCAGTTGCTAGTCTCTAGCTTTGTGATGTGAGCTGCTAGCCATGGGAGATGACTGGGGAAGGGCTGGCCAAATAGCTCAGCAGATTAAAGCGCCTGCAAGCAGGCACAGGGGCCGGGGGTTCAGTCCCTGGGCCTGCTATGTCGTCAGCCCTGCCCCTGGGGTGTGCTGGGACAGCAATTGAGACTGGGCATGGTGGTGCGCGCCTGTAATCCCAGCTCTTGGGAGGCTGTAAACAGGTGGATCACTATGAGTCTGATCTAGTAGTGAGACCCTGAACACCCTGTAGACCCTTCCCTAAATGCACAGAAAAAAGATAACTGTGGACAAGATCAGGGCATTTTCCTATGAGAGGGTAGCACACAGCTCAGCCCTGTTGATGGTGGCCCTGTAGAGGGCTGTATTACTCCATTTTTTGTGACTGTCACAAAATACTCTAAGCTGGCTACTTGGTTAAGAAAAGAGGTTTCTGGAGGGTGGTTTTGAAGGCTGGAAGCTCACGTGGTACCATGCTGGCCCTGGTGAAGACACCTTGGACATGCCTGCACGATTGTGGGTGGCAAGTGGCAGGTGCACAGGCAGAAGGGCACCAGGCAGCCAGGTCTGGGAAGGGTGTGGCCAGGCTGTACCTTCACATGCTCTCTTGAGAAGGAATCAGCCCCACGGAACAGCATTCCTTGGAGATCTCCAGTCCTGCTGCGGCCCAACATTGTCCCAAGCCTCAGCTCTGAGAATCTCCACTATCAGTCAGTGTCGCCCCCCGGAGACTGCGCCCCCACCTCACAACCCTGGGACCCACCCATGCCCAGGCACAGCAGCAGTCAGGCCAGGAAGGACATGGCGGGTCATGCCCTCCTAGGGTCTCCGCGGCCGGCCTCCTTGCCCCTCAGACCCCACCTCAGTACCCTCAGGACTCCTGCCTCACACTCCCTTCAGCCTGTGGCTGGCCTCGTTGGTGACTGGTTCGTGACCATGTCTCTCCTCTGTGGCCTGTGATCTGCAATGTAATAGACATGTGAATTTTTGCGCTGGCTTTGTGAGGAATGAGTCCTCGAGGACTCTGGCTTTCATACTGGGACCCCCCATTCTGGAAGGCGACTCCTGTGAGATGCCCTGGGCCACACCAGCGTCCTGTGTCCGCCGGTTCCGTGCAGTGCCAGTTCTGCTGTGACTGAGTCCCCCTCTGTCTTGCAGGGCTGGGGGAAGGCTCTGCCCTCCTGCACCCTGACAGCAGATCCCACCCTCGGTCCCTGGAGAAGAGTGCCTGGCGGGCCTTCAGGGAGTCGCAGTGCCACCACATGCTCAAGCATCTCCACAATGGTGCACGGATCACGGTGCAGATGCCGCCAGCCATCGAGGGCCACTGGGTCTCCACAGGGTGAGCTCGGCTGGGAGGGCGGGGCAGAGCTGCCGGGTGACCCCTGGGTGGCTTCTTGAATGCGGAGAGGACTTCGGTGTCGTCCAGCTGATGAGGAGCCAGGCTGCCATTTGAAATCAGGGCTGGTGGGGCAGCAGCTCGTCCTGAGAACTCTTACCGACAAGGTTAAACCACATCACTGTGAGCTATGCTGGAGGGAAGAGTGAATAGGTCCTTGTTTACTGAACTCGGGACCACGTGTGTATAAAAAGAAACTATTAGCAAGTGAAGTTAAGCTCTGTGTTTTACATCCCTGAGTCATGACTTGCGAGGCTCTTTGGCCTGTGCATTTCCAACTGTATTCTGGTAACTTAATATGCAGCGTCAGGGCTCTGAGAGGCCGAGAGCTGCCTCTCTAGCCACAGCGAAGTTCTTAGATTCTTTTCCATGCTGTGGAGCTGAGACTTATCCCAGTGTGAGCTCTGGCTTATCTGTCATTAGAGCTTTTAAAAATAGCCCAGAGGCCGATGTGTGATTTCTTTCCCCCTACCCACTGAATTGTTGAGCGTTAACAAGTCTGACCACTCTCCGGCACTATTGCTGGGATATGGGCGAGCAGCCTCAAGGTACCGTGGGGAGAGATCAGGTGTGTATGGAGAAAGTTGATGAAGACCTAGAATATTTTTCCCCAAAATAGGCTCTCTTAAAATAACTACATGATAAATTTTTTGCATAAAAATCTTCATGTGAAATCATAACTTTGAAATGATTATCTGCTGGATGTCTGCTCTGTACAACTATTCGCTATGGGTGCATAAACCAGTTGTGGTCCTATCTTCAGAGAGTTTACAAATAAACACACAAGTGTGTACTGTGAGGCATGGGGGATGCAGATGTGAAGGAATCAAGGGGCCTTACTGTAAGGTCGGGATGAGTTTTAGAAAGTCCAGGAGAGTGGGGAGCCTTTGGGCCAAGACACTCTTGGTAGGGGAAGAACCTCTGGTGGGAGAGCTAGCGAGGCCAGCTGGACACTGAGTGAGCCAGAGCCAGGCTAGACTGGAGAGCCCGACATAGTCCTGTGGCCAGCTGGGGTGCAGGGAACCCAGGAGAGCAGCCCTGCAGGAAGAGAACATTTTTTAGCTTTAGGGTCTCGCTCTCTGTCTCTTTGTCTCTTTGTCTCTTTGTCTCTCTCCCTTTCTCTCTCTCTCTCTCTCTCTCTCTCTCTCTCTCTCTCTCTCTCTCTCTGTCTCACAGTTGCCCCAGCCTGGCTGTGAACTCCTATGGCAAGCCATCCTCTGCCTCAGCCTCCTGAGTAGTGAGTACAGTACTACGGATGTGTGCACCACACCCAACTCATAGAGTGTGAGAGCCCAGCCGTGGCCAGAGTGCCTCCTGGAAGGCCCATGTTTAAAGCATGATCCCACTTTACTTGGGAGCCTCTGGCTGTGGTATGGTGTGTGGGTAGGAGGAAAGGTGGTGTGGAATGACAGCTGGCTGCTGCACAGGTGGGGCCGCGGGGGCAGCGGGGGCAGCAGTGGCCAAGTGGCAGGACCTGACATGCACTGTGGGCAGAAGCAGCAGCTCAGCCTTTCCCAGCCAGACCCTGGTGACCTCAGCCATTGATCACCCTGAGCTTCTGCTCTGTCCCGAGTCTGGGTGTCTTGTCACTCCCATGGGTCCAGTGACCTGTGCTCAGAGGACGCTGCCTGCCCCGTGTATGCAGGACATCAGTGACCCCAGTGACAGACTGCACAGCTCGAGGCTCCAACCTGCTGGCTACAAAATTTGAATAAGAGGCCCATGAGTTTAGAATTTCAGCCCATCCAGAGCCTGGTCAGTTACAGACAGGAGCAGTGTTAGAAGTTTAACCCTAGAGAGCTGGGGACAGGCTGGGAGCAGGTCTGAGGACGCAAATCCCTTGGCCAGTGACTTGGGGGTCTCGTCTTTCCCTGGCTGGGGCAGAGCTGGGCTGCAGGAACTGATGATCGCTGGAGTAGTGTGAGATGGGCCTGAGTTCAAGCTACTGGTGAAGGCTCAGCCTGAGTATTTCTAGCTCAAGATCCCAGCACCCGTGTCGTGCAACCACGGAGGGCCTTTGCTTGTTCACCAGCACGAGCCTCAGGGAGGCCTGTCGCTGTTGTCCATTAGCTTTGCTTCCTCCTGGTCACCTCTTTTTCCTGCCAGAGATACAACTCATTTTGAATCAGGGGGCAGATTTGTCTTTGCCACAAGGGGTCCATGGGTGTCTCCTGCCTGCTTTATTGGGAGAGGCCACAAACAGGCCAGTGCTCCCAGAGTCAGCTGATTTTGACATGACAGCACGGCATTCCTGGAATAGGCAAGCATGACCCTCTTCCTCATCCAGAAAGACAGAAATGCCTCAGTGAAGCAGGGCTGCCTCAGAGACAGAGGACAGCAATACAGCCTGGTGGGGAACAGTCCAGTAGCTGGGCTGCCTGGGTGTGGGTTCAGGCTTCGATTCTCACTGCCTGTATGACCTTGGGCATGCTCCCTAACTGCCCGTATGACCTTGGGCGTGCTCCCTAACATGTGCCTCAGTTTGCTGTGCTGCAAAATGCAGGCGCTGCTAATCCCACATCGCTCCTGTGAGGGCTGCTGTAGCTCTCCCCCCACGTCTGCTGTGCGCACGTGGGCTCAGGAGGCTCTGCCCCGCCCTTGCTCTCCAGCTGTGAAGTGCGGTCCGGGCCGGAGTTCATCACGAGGTCATACCGCTTCTACCCCAACAACACCTTCAAGGCATACCAGTTCTACTACGGCAGCAATCGCTGCACAGACCCCACCTACACGCTCATTGTCAAGGGCAAGATCCGCCTGCGCCAGGCCTCCTGGATCATCCGTGGGGGCACCGAGGCTGACTACCAGCTGCATGGCGTGCAGATCATCTGCCACACAGACTCCGTGGCGGAGCAGCTCAGCCAGCTGGTAAACCGCACGTGCCCAGGCTTCGTGGCCAGGGGCCCCTGGGTGCAGGACGCGGCCTACGACCTGTGGCGAGCCGAGGGAGGCTGCGAGTGCACCCAGGCCCTGCGCTTCGCCATGCATGAGCTGCAGTTGCTCCGCGTGGAGAAGCACTACCTGCACCGCCTGGACCACCTGGTGGAGGAGCTGTTCCTTGGCGACATCCACACTGACGCCAGCCAGAGGCAGTTCTACAGGCCATCTAGCTACCAGCCACCCCTGCAGAGCGCCCAGGTGAGTGAGTGCCCCTGGCTGGCCAGCCCTGGAGCACAGGCAGAGTTGGGAGGGGCCTGTGAGGGGAGGAGGAGGCGACTGTGGGAGGTGACAGGGGCTGCGGGCTGGAGCACTTGCAGGTTTCCTTTGTGAGCAGAGACCTCAGGGCTGGGAGAATCCTGAAGTGCTGATGCCCTAGAAACTCTGCACTGCCCCTGAAAGGGTACGAAAGCACTGTGGCAATGTCACTGCCACACTTGGAAAAGACACCAGAGACCCCTGTGATAGTCCTGCCCTCGCCATGGGGAAGGAGAGGGGTGGCGGAGACGTCTGCAGGGGCTGCGGGTTTCAGTGCACCTGTCAGCCTGTTGCTGCCGGCCCTCTTCCTCAGCCTCCTGAGATCTAGGGTTTTCAGGCAGGGTGTGGGTCTTTCCGCCCAGACGCAGACTCACCTCTGGCTCCCAGACCCAGGTTTCTCCTCAGTGAAGTGTGAGGTCCCTGTGACTGGAGGGTGGACCTGACCTGGGCCACAGGAAGCAATTAGGACCTGCTGGTGCCGCTTCCCTGAGGGGTACCGCGGCAGCGAGGGGAGTTCTCCAGCTTTGCTTCTGCATGCTCAGTCAGGTCTGAGAGGAACCCTGGGGTGGCGGGCAGGCGCCGCTCCAGAGTGATCCTCAGCTGCCAGCGGCATGGGAGCCCTCGGTGTAGCTGCCTCACGGCAGAGCGCTGGCTGTCTTCGTTTGCTGATATATTCATTATTTTAAGTCTGTTTTCTTAGCGGTCCTTTGAGCCATTCAGCCCCTCGAGATATCTCTGAGAACTTCCTCTCCAAGGACCGCTCAGTGTTACCATTTTATCTCTGTCACTATGAGCGCATGCATGAAAGTGGCCTTTATTACAAAGCAGAAAGATCTGCTCAGGCAGCCACTTGGCAGAGGCCACTTCCTCCCGGCGCGTCTTGTCTGGGTCAGGGGTGTGCTCCTGGCCCTGGCACTGGGAGGGCTTGTACTGCCACCCTGAGTTTTTCCTGCAGAGTAGGCGCCAGGTCCTGTGCCTTGCCATGGAAGCGGCAGGGGCTCTGAGACTCAGATGACTTTAGGCAGGTGGGGGCAACCTCTCGAGCAGCTGGGGTCCCCAATATCCTCCTCAAGTGCTGGGTGAGGGGCAAAACCCACAGTGCTGCCTGCATCCTGGGGCAGCCTGGTTACCAAGGTGATACCTGGCCAGGTATGGTGCTGACCCTGGGTCCTTGGGTATCTGGGGCTTTGTAGTTGGGAACAGTGTCCAGAGACCACCTTGAGGCTGCAGCTGCGCAGAGCCTCTCAAATCAAGGTGTAGACACAGGAGGGAAGGTGTCACATCTGGGCATGGTATCGCTGAGCATAGCAGCAGATTCCCCAGAATGCAGTGGTGGGAGCTGTGGCTCTCTGAGTAAGAGTGGCCACCCATCACCCCACAACCTGGAGACCTGTGGGCCCACTGTGCCCTTCACCTGCCCGTGTCCCTCCAGCTGAGTCCCTGTTGAGCAGTACCACAGGGCCGGGTGCCTTTCCTCACCAGCACTCAGGTGCCCACGGCTCTTCTGCCTTCGCAGCACTGAAGCAAGGGAGGATAACCCTACCTCCTCTTCCTGTCTGCCCCTGAGCCCCGGCTCCAGCACGCTGCTGGTCACTGCATCCCTGCTGGACTTGGTGCCCACCCTCTTCTCCCAGGACAAGGACCTTCCTGGTGGCCAGGGTCCCCAGTCCCCGGCCCGTCTGTCAGGAGTGACACATCTCCCAGAGGGCAATGTCTTGGAAGCAAGCCCTGAGCCTCGGCCCAGGGTTAGGGTGGCAGTTGTAGCGACGACGCCCTTTTCGTTGTTGTTTTGCAATGCTGAGGATCAAACTCGGCTCAGCCTCGCGGGCAAGTGCTTCTCCTGAGGCTGCATTCCACCCCAGGGGGCTGCTCTCCTGCCTGTGCTCTTACTTCTTGTTACCAGCACCTGCATAAATTGGGGCGCATGGGGACTTTGGAAATAGAGCCCGCCCTGGAACCCAGTTCTGCAGACATTAGCTGTGCAATTGGTAGCTACTTAACCTCAAGGAGCCTTAGTTTTTCTTTTCTGTGAAAGGGTAGAAATGTGAGAGGTGACTGTGGAATGCTGTCGGGCAACCTGGCTGCCCCAGTGGGAGTGAGAAGCCCTTCTGGGCAGAGGTTGCAGTGCCAGGCGCTGGGAAGGTGTCAGCACCCCGGGACACTGAGCTGTACCCAGGTTCTGCTGCTTCCCTTCCCTGCACTGCTGAGGCAGCTGTGGGAACATTCACCTAGATTCGTAGGAAATGGGCTCTCTAAAGCCCAGGCCCAAAGTCCTGATTCTAGAAGCAAGGAGGGTGGGCTACACAGGGAGCCTGGGTGCCCTTGGGACACATGAAATGAAAAGTGAGTGAAGGACAGTGTGAAGAAGCATCACAAATGGTCCTGCGTGTGCAAACCTGAGGCTAGGAGACAGAGGGAGGGCAGGTGCAGGTACTTGGGTCCCCTGGGGAGGGGTGTCAGGGCTGCAGTCTGTCCCATGATTTCATGTACCTAGGCCAGGTTACCACACAGAATGAAAATTAGCAGAAGCAAGTCCTGCCTGGACTCAGGAATGCAGTGGCCATCAGAGACAGGCCCCAGCCTCTGCACCCGGCCGCTGTGGCTGCCCGGCAGAGTGGCGGGGCCTGCAAGAAGGCGCCTGGCTGCAAAGCTGAAAGGACCTGCTCTTCTCCTGCTGTCCCTTGTGTGTACCTCTTGGCCTGCAGCATGTTGTAGAGTCCTCAGGAAGTCTTTAGATCCTTCCCAGGATGGCTCTGGGGAGGAGCGAGTAGAGGTGCCCACGGCATCTTTGTAGATCCTGGCATGGCTGAGTCCTGTGGCATGTGCCTGAATGCCTGGTGCCCCAGTTGCCTGGGCTGGCTGTGGCCCCTGGCACGGGATGGGAAGCAACAGATCATCTGTGGAGATCGCAAGGCCTCTGGGAGGGCGGGGCCTCCTCCTGTGAACTTTGCGTTGCCTAATTGCTGGTCCATAGAGACCTGGCTGAAAATTAGTTTAAATGCTAAATTGAGTTAGAAACCACTAGCCTCAGCCCCTGTGGAAACAAGATACCATGTAAAAATAGAAACTTCAGGTCAGCTTGTTTTTCTAAGCTTTATGCTCCTTTGCAACGAGGTTCCAAGTCCTTTGGCAAATAACGTTTGCTGAGAATCAGGTAGGTGTGCATGGAGTTCTTTCAGAGGAAATTGGCCATTTTTTATTAACAAAAATCAAGGCAGGTGAAAGAACCTGTTTTGCCCAAGTGGAGCATCACCGTGGCCAGCGCTGACCCCTGCCAGGAGTCGCCAGAGCCCTGCAGCTGAAGGGTGAGTGGCTGCATTCCTTCTCCGCAGCGATGGAATCAAATGGTAGCGGCAGCTAACAATTTCCACGATCTTCAGCCGACCAGAAAGCCTCGGGATCCGACCCACAAACAAGCAGAATTGGTCTTCCTCCAGAATTCTGTTCTGATTCAGCCATAGGGTTGTAAATAAAAGGTCATCTGAAAACCAGCCAGCTTTTCCCGAGCTGCACATCTTAAATCCTTCATCCCAGCAGAGCTGCAGCTCCCTGAGGACCCCGGCCTAAGGAAAGGGAGTGCTCCCGTGCAGAGGGAAGCTGCGGCTCTGGTCCAGCAGGCACCTCTCGTGGTTTTGGTAGCCGCCCATCATCCCTCTGTGCCCGCAGGGGCTGATCCTAGGATCTCTGGGTACCCAAGTCTGGGTGCTCGAATCCATTATGCAAAACAGGACAGTGTTCGCATAGGGCCGTGCACATGCTCCTGCAGACTTCAGCCCACCCTGGGTGACTCTGTACATCTGGCAGGACGCCAGCGCTGTGTGAATAGTCATTCTTCTGTGTAGGGGAGAAGGCCCTGCACGAATGTCGGCACATGTTCAGTAGAGGCCCACCTTTTTTTTGCAATATTTTTGATCCTTAGTTGGTTAATCTTCAGAAGCAAAACACAGATACAGATGGCTGATAGAAGTGAGCTGGGGGACTTCCCAATACTGGTGCCATCAGAGGGACTTCAGGGTAGGTAGCCCAGCTGCAAAGGCTGGTCCGAATGTGCCCTTGCCGTGGCTCCTGGGTGACGCATCAGCAGAGTGGAGGGAAAGGAGAGGGGTCTGCAGAGGTAGCCAGCGATGGAAGAAATGGAAGGCAAAGGAGACCCGGCATCCAGGGCCCTCTGAGACAGTACACACTGCGCTTTTTATGAAAGAAGAGCACTGGCTGCGAGGCTTAGGTGCCGGGGTCTGACTTCTGTGGATGTTCTCTGTGGGCCGAGGTCAGAGGGTCTGGCATGCGCTTTTGTTGCAGGTATAGATCTGTGCTTTTCTTGATGTCTCCAGAGTATCTCAGAAGCCTGCAAGCTGCTTATTTAAGAAGATAGCAGGCCAGGAAAGATGTGTTGTCAGGGGTGATGCAAGTGGTAAACACCTCATCCCTTGAAAAGCAAGACCAAACCTGCAGGACCAACAAGATAGCTCAGTGGACTAAGTGCCTGCTTAGCCAAGCACAGGGACACAGGACCCTGGTTTGATCCTGGGTACCACATGCCGTGCCAGCCCCTCCCCTGGGCATGCTGAGCCAGGCACAGAGACCAGGCATAGTGGCATGCAGGCCTGTAATCCCAGCACTGGGGAGACTGAAAACAGGTCTGAGCTGCCTAATGAGACTCTACGAAATGCATAAAAAGAAAAAAGACCAACCCTGCCTAGGGGCAGAGGAAGCCCACTGGGTGGGAACTGGGCCTTTCAAAAAGCAGCCTCCCCTCCCTAGCACTGGGCGTGAGCTGAACAGCGAGAAGAAAGAAGGGGCAAAAAAAATGGGGCAAGCCAGGGTGCTTGGGATTCACCTAGGATCTCATTTAACCTTTTTTAAAAAAAATCTTTTATTTATTTATTTAGTACAGGGTCTTGCTATGCAGCTCAGACTCCTAGTGAGACCCATCTCAGCCTCCCCAGCACTGGGATTACCGGCGTGTGCCACCTCGTCCAGTTTCAGTGGCCAGCATAGTGTGCCCAGGGATCCAGGGCTGGCTAGGCATGCAGTGCTGGGGATCAAACCTGGACCCTTGCACTTGCCAGGCAGGCTCTTAGACCACAGAGCTATCTCCCTAGACTACATTTAATCTTTAAAATGAGTCAACTTCAGTTATTCAAGTGAAAGAAAATCTCTTGGAGGTAAAGCAGTCAAGTGAAAATGAATGTAAAATTTATGCTTTCCCATTTTTAGAATAAGCCTGGTTTTCTTTTTAGAAAAGAAAAAGGACCTTTTTTGTCCTCTCCTTTGAGCTAAAGTTGTATGTGCCTGTGTGTGTGAGGGCACGCATGTGTGAGTGCCCGTGTGCTTGGGCAGGTGCTAGAGGCTGCACCCAGGACTGCCCACGTGATAGGCGGGCACTCTACCGCCATTGCTGACCTAGGGCTCCTGGCCCCTGAATTAAAATTTCTCCAGGTAGCAAGGAGGAAACAAATTCTGGTTCGTCAGCCTTTAACCAACCTTCGGCTCTGCGCACAGAAGCTCTGGTGCGAAGTAGTCCTCTCTGAGACCCAGGAGATAGGCTGGTGGAGCCGAGCGGAAGCCCTCCTGGCAGGTGGGAAGCAAGCAGCTGGGTGTGGGTCCAAAAGAGCCAAAGGCTGGTATTTCCTAGTACAAGTCATTTTTTCGCATTGAAAAACCCCACGTGCACTTCTTTTTTTCCATTTATCCTTCCTGAAAGCCTAGAAGAAAAGCACATTAGGAAAAAGAGGCTTTCGGGTCCATACACTATATAGGCTTTACTTTCCCAGGGTCGTTCCCGGGAAGCATAGGTCTTTTAAAACTTCTACAAGCCAAAGATTGTAAGAATTTAAGGAAAATCGTTAATCTTGTCTACAGAATATGAATACCTTCTTACAGACTGTTTCTGAAGCAGTCCCCTTGTGACAGTGTCCGTACAAGCTGGAAGGACCTCTGTGTATTACATCTGTGGTTTCTTCATGGTAGCTAGAGTTGCTTCAGAAAGTACCTTAGCCAACTTGGCAACAGTGACAGCACTGGAAGGTGCAGAAGGACGTGCAGGCGGCGGTGAGCACCAGAGGTGCCGAGGCTCCGAGGCTCAGGAAAATGTAGGCCAACTGCAGGGGATGCCAGATCGCCCTCGGACGGCTGCTGGGAGAAGAGGTGGACACAGGTGTTGGTGAGGCCGCGGGGAGGCTGGGCCGTGTGCTTTTGTGGTACAGTAGTGCCTCCAGTGTGGGAACCGCAGTGACGTTCCTCAAAACATTAGGCATAGATTGGCCAGAGGATCCAGCCAGTCCTGCTGGAATATCCCCCGAGACTGAGCAGATCCCCAAATAGGTACTGATACACCACGTTCCCAGCAGAAGCCACACGTGTGCCTGCAGTGCAGAGTGATTCTGCCTGAAAGGGAACCAAGGCCTGTACCTGCTGGGGACAGAGCAGCCTGGAAGACTGTGCTGAGGAAATGGCTCAGCCAGGCCCGTGCGGCCCACCGAGCCAAGGCCCTGTGATCGCCCTCGCCACAGCTTGCTGCTGGCTGCAGGCTCCGGCTCTGCAGGGAGCCTCAGGTCTGCATGGCCTTAGCCTCTGGTGCCCACAGCATGCATCTGAGCTCGTCCTCTGGAGCCGAGAGCCCCGTGGGCAGAGGCAAGGCTCATTCTCAGAGACCGCAGCTCCAGGTGCCTCCCCCTGTGCTCAGCACACACGTGGTGATAGGGAGCTCTGACTCAGGTAACACTGGGGATGATGCATGTGCTCAGCCCAAGTGACAGGCACCAGCCTGCATGCAGGGGAGGCCACACTCTGCTGGGCTCACACGCTGCTGGTGGTATGTGCTTCCAGTGGGAAGCATCCCTTGAGCTCTTGGGCTGGCATCAGCCATGGCAGCCAGATGGTGGAGAGCCCATGCAAGGCGAGGCAGTGGGGTGCCCTGCACCTGGAGTCTAGCAGTGAGGGGCTGGCGCTGTGCTCAGGGCGCAGTTCTCCGGATGTCCACACTTAGGCTTTGTGCAGAATATGGGGCCACAGCAGTGAGGGAGGAGCCGAGGCCAAGGGCCGTCCTCCAGCAGCACTGTGCACGCTCCTCTGCACGCTGCGCTCCCTGAGCCCCCACCCGCCTTCGCTCTGCCCAGTGCTGCCTGCCCCCGTTAGCTGTATTGCCCTCACCCATAGCCAGAGGAGGCTGCCCTTTTTTTCTAATGTGCCTCACAAAATCGCATCATTGCAGGAAAATGCACACAGTATGAAGTTGGCCACCCTACCCAAGTGCAGGGTGTACAGTTCAGCGCTACCAGTTACATTTGTGTTGTGCCGCCACCGCTGTTAGCCAGCCCTGGAACTGCACTTTGCAAACCGGAGCTCTGCCCCCGGGTGCCCAGCCCAGCCCCCAGCAGCCACCATGCTGCCTCCTGTCTGTGGGTCTCACCACCTGTAGAAGGGCAATCAGTGCTGGCTCACAGCTGGCTGTTCGCCTAGCACCATATCCCCTTGGTGCGTCCCTCCGCAGCCTACGCTGGGGCACCTTCCTTGTTGGGCTGAACCCCAGTTGCTTCCCCAGTCTCTTGTGGGCAGGACTCATGCTCACGCACCTGTCTGGTTCCCTGCTTTCTGCTTTTGGGTCCATAATGGGTTCTACACTTGGTGCTTTGAGGAGGCGGCAGGCCACTTCACTCCGTGGCCGTGTGCAGGTCCTTTCCATGCAGGACCCAGCCAGGGTTCCAGTTTTTCCGCATGTTACCAGCACCTACTCCTGGCTTCTCCACAGTGCTTGTCCTGCCAGTGTGAGGAGTTTTATTTTGTTCTAAAATCAACATCCAGCTAGGGGGTCAGAAACGCAGTAGGACTAGAGTCCCACACAGCAGAGATGTGCTGGCTGTCCCTGCTGTCCCTGGGCACATGCCCATACCCCACAGTTCTTGGCTCAGACCTGGCTCTGCGTGTGCCCTGGCAGCGCTGGTCATGGGTGCTGCTCCCTGATACCTCAGAGGCCCTCTGGGAGAGGCGGGGGACCTGGGAGGACAGCAGTCCCTAATGCTGATGTCTCTGCTGCTGCAGAACCACGACCATGCCTGCATAGCCTGTCGTATCATCTTCCGCTCTGACGAGCACCACCCCCCGCTTCTGCCCCCGAAGGCAGACTTGACCGTGGGCCTGCATGGTGAATGGGTGAGCCAGCGCTGTGAGGTGCGGCCGGAAGTCCTCTTCCTCACACGTCACTTCGTCTTCCACGACAACAACCACACCTGGGAAGGTCACTACTACCACTACTCGGACCCTGTGTGCAAGCACCCCACCTTCACCATCTATGCCCGGGGCCGCTACAGCCATGGGGTGCTGTCCTCCAGAGTGGTGGGTGGCACGGAGTTCATGTTCAAAGGTAGGCCGTGGGCCCAGGGAGCACGCAGGTGTGTTTTGGGGGTACACTGCAGAGCACAGCCGAGGGACAGGCCTCTGTCCTGCTGAGATGCTGGGACAAGAGCAGGAGCAAGTTGGGCCGCTCTGCTCCCCAGAAACTGCAGCATCTCTGCCTCAGCAGAACTTGGGGTCTCTACCTGCAGCCCCAGCACCGTGGGGCCCATGCCACATGGGCACCTGCATACCCAGCCTGTGGCTCCAGGCGCTCCTGGTGGCCATAGCAGCTCGCACCCCAGGTGCTTCCTGGTGGGGAGGAGGAGCAGGTGTTAGCGACTCTTAGGGTCTCAGAGTCTTCATCTCTGCCCTGAGCTTGCCGCACCCTTTAGAGGGTGTCACGGGTAGGGACAGGAGCTGCGATGGGTGTCCCCGCCTGGTGCTCAGAGGCTAGGACAGGACAGGCTGTCCTCAGAAGGGAGGTTTGGTTTTGTTTTTAAGTTTGAGCATCTTCATGAAACTAGTGTCAGCCCTGTCACCACACTATGCAGAGAGGACAGCTGAGATCGTGGGAGTGGTGACACCAGTCCAGTCAACAGGACGCCTGTGTTAGTGCAGAGAAACCCAGAGCCTGAGTCCTCCTGTTGTGGAGGTGGCGGCGGCTTTGGTCCTGGGATGACCACACTCAACAGAGGGCGGTTTCTGGCTTGACCAGCCAAGCCCAGTGTGTGCGGAGCAGTGTCGCCCCCTGGGGGACCTCATGGGGCGGGTGTCTCGAGGTGCAGTGTTGAGGATCAGCCTTAGTCCAAGTGTGAGCAGTGTGCTGCGTTTCAGGGAACACGCTGTGGATGAGCCAACAGGACCTGCTAAGAAGAGGCTTCTACCCTGCCCGGGATTTCTGTTCAATCCACTCATAGTTTTTTGCTTGCAACATATTCTTGATGCCCAAGTTATGTACCAGTATTGACTTACGAAAAAGCTAACTCGCTGAGACACTTGGCAGCCAAACTTTTAGGCACCCTGAAACCTTTTCATGAAATCAAATGCCAGTTTCTGCTGCATAATTCTGCCTCATAAGGAGCCAGCGCAGTGGCCTTCTGGTCGCTCACAGCGTGTTGTGCTCCCTCGCATCAGCGGGAGTGAGCTTCCTTTGTTAGGCCCCCAGCTGGGCAGGCAGGTTGGCAGACAAAACGCCTTGCACACCTCTCCAGCATGCGAGCTGTGTGCTGTGCTGTGTCAGCCCCAGATGGCTGTACCTCCTGAGGCCATGTCACCTATGTAAGTCATTACACTCTACTGTGTAGGAAATAAGCAAGCAGTCATGCAGGTTCCAGCCAGCCAGCTTGCTTTCCAGCCATCCTGACTGTGGTTGTGGGTCCCCTGATGCGGCGCCCATGGGTGCAGAGGGATAGTTGACAGCATTAGGGGTCTGCCACTCCTAGGGACAGGCAGACTTCCCACCCTAGACCCCTGTGGCCAGCAGGGTGGGCGGGCAGGATGGCTGGGAGGGAAGCCTCGGTGAGCTCTGCTGCTGTGTCCCCTGATGTCTCCTTGGTAACCACGGCGTCTCCTCTGCCCTGCACAGTGAATCACATGAAGGTTACTCCCATGGATGCGGCCACAGCCTCGCTCCTCAACGTCTTCAACGGGAACGAGTGTGGGGCCGAGGGCTCCTGGCAGGTGGGCGTGCAGCAGGACGTCACGCACACCAATGGCTGCATGGCGCTGGGCATCAAGCTTCCCCACACAGAGTATGAGATCTTCAAGATGGAGCAGGATGCCCGGGGGCGCTACCTGCTCTTCAATGGCCAGCGGCCCAGCGATGGGTCCAGCCCAGACCGGCCTGAGAAGAGGGCCACATCCTACCAAATGCCCCTGGTCCAGTGTGCTTCCTCCTCGCCCAGAGCTGAGGACCTGTCTGCCGACGGCGGGGGCAGACAGTACGGCCAGGCGCCACGGAGGAGAACCCAGCCCATGCTGCTGGCCACCCTCGCCGGCCTTCTGACTCTGCTGCACTGGGGCGGGCCCAGCTAGAAATTTTTAGGAAGTTCTATTTTTCTGAACTAGGATTCCTTACCATATACAGATTTTCTTTATGAAAAGGAAAGACACTGATTCTTTTGATGCACTTGAATGCCCGAGGGCTGTCGCTCCTTTTCCCGCCCTCCCTTCCCGCCCTGAGTCATGAGCAGCCCGTTTGAAGTTTCTGCTTTGAACTCCGTCCAGCCTGGCCCCAGCGAGTTTGCAGCAGCGATTGCACTTTAAGTCCGTGGAGCTTTGGCTGGTGTGTCTGTGGAGGCCTCGGGGTTGAGCGCTGGGTCCTATTGTTTTTGTCCTCTTAAATATTAGATTTCTGAGTCGAGCTTAGAAGGGCCTCCTCCAGGCTACAACCTTCCCTGCGTTTTGACTGCAGTTGCTTTGCACCCTCTATGGAGTCTTAGTCTCCCAGGTTTAGGCCCTGGAATTGGGGCACAGTTGTTTGGGGACTGAGATTAAGACCTGTACTATTGACGAGATGTGGGCATAGATATGTACATAGGAGGGGTGCAAGTTTAGCGAGATAGCTTTACAGAAACAGGGGTGAGAATCAAAACTTTCAGAAGTGTTTTGAAAAAAAGTATTTGTAATTAAAATTCCAAAGTAATTTAAACTATTTTTACATCACTGGTTTGCAGTTGTCAAGATGAGGTGGTTGTCGTTTGCTGGTCTGGGTGGGGGCAGGATGCAAGCAGCTGCTTCACTTGCCCTCAGCAGATGGGGGTGGGGTGGGCAAGGGAGGAGCAAAGGCAGCGGCTGCGGAGCGGAAGGCAGCGGCTGCACTGGGCCCCTGCGAGCTGGAGGTGCCTACTTGTTGCCTGGTTTCCTCACTGGGGCTGTCCGGGCTCCCCAACTGGTCAGAGTGGGGATGGGGAGATCCCAGCTCCAGTATCTCTGCCGTCTCTGCACCCTTGGTGTGCTGCTTGACTCGGTTTCCTTCTTGACTTTGACTTGGCCATGTCCCAACCTTCAGTTCCTGGGCCACTACTTGGAGTCAGCATGCCAGAGGCACTGGGAGGGCGTGGCTCCTGTGGACAGTTCCTGGCCATGCTACCTACTCACCAAGTGCCATTGCTGCTGGAGTCCAGCACAGGGCAGTGGGCAGTGACCGAGAGCTTGATGTCACCAGCAGTAGATGTGGTTCAGGCAGAGCCAGCCTCAGATATGGGAACTGACTGTTGAGAGTTAGTCATGGGGCAGGGTGAAGTTAGGACGCAGGCACAGAGCGCAGTGTGCACCCTGTCCAGATTCTGTTCTGAGTTTGCATACCTGAGGGCTTTATACCAAATGAAAATGCCAACACAGTGTCTGCCAAGTTTAATAAACAGAAGTCAAAAATAATTTTACAAAATGCATTTTATACGAGAACCTATTTAATACTGATACTCGGTTTAAAGAAAATAATAAAATCATGTGAAAAGCTGAACTCACTGCTAAAGAAAACCTCAGTGATTCATGACAGAAGTCACAGATTTGTAAAGCTCGCTGACACCCACCAAGGCCTCTCTGTACATGTTAAAAGCATGCTGCATGTGGGCACACATACATCCAAACACAGGTGTGAACCGGAGCGCTGATGTATGCGTGTGTATGCATCTCGGATAATAGCCAACACATTGTCATACTGCCTTCCGATACAGTAAGTCATTACAGACAGAGGCCAGCAGAACATGTTCACCAGTGGCTGACACAGGCTTGCACTCGCAGCTGAGACACCCATCTGTGTTCCATCCGGTCTAGGTCATGCTGTGTTAGCGTCGCCAGCCTGTCCCGCAGCGGAGGTCACAGTGACTTCCCATCACCTTGGAAAAACAGCCGTCCATTTCCAGGTCACGTAGCCTTGAGGGTCGCAGGTGCCAACGCAGCAGCAGCAGCAGCAGCAGCAGCAAGATGCCATCTGGGAGGGCAGGGCTGCCCTCATGTTCTAGAACAATTTCACTCATGCCACAATGCAGCAGCAGGCATGCAGGAGCGGAGGTTTCCTCTCAGCGCAGGCAGTGCTGCTTGTGATGCCAGGATGGGAGGAGTCACGAAGTGTGGGACCTTGCTGGCCTGCTCCAGCTGGGTGTCTGAGCCCATCTCTGTAACAGCACTGACTGTGGTGACTGACCACGAGTAGTGTGTTCGGCTCACAGTTCTGGAGATGGAGGAACCCGAGGTCAGGAGCCTGTCCCTGGGCAGGGCCCAGTGCTGTTCTAGTCTGCAGCAGAAAGGGAGAGGAGGAGCTGACGTGCCCCCGAGGCAAAACATGGGGCACCCTCGCTTTGTCCAGCCTGCCCTCCATGAGGGCTGGCACTCACTTCAGGGAGAAGGCTGAGGGCTCCTGGGCGGCCCCAGCCCTGACACTGCCACACTGAATAAACTGGAGTCACAGCCCCAGACTTCCTTTCTTAGGGGCAGTGGGCTGGTCAGGAGCTGCCAGAGAGCTGCTCTTTGTGACAGTGAAATTTGGGTATAACCAAGGCTTTAGATAAACACTCGGGCTGACTCTGGGCTCAAAAAGGTAATTCCTGGTTGGAGGTGCCTTAAGATCTGCCCCCAGCACACAGGTGATGCTTGGGTTTCAGAGGACAAATACTTAGAACAGCTGAAGTCAGCCTGAATATCTTTACTCTGCGACGCTTCATAGAAGAAGTGTATTGTGGGATATGGGGATCCTCTGTGTGGGAGTGTGCGCACCCTCATGTCTCCCGCTCTTCTTAGAACACTGCTGTACTTTGGTGAGCATTCTGGTACGCTGCTTGATCCCAGCCCACATGTCCACGTATGGCTTCCTTTGCATACATGTTCTTAGATTGACCTGCTACGCAAGCACTCACTCAGCCTCGCCAGTATTTCTCCGTCTTTGCATTTAGTCAAATGTCCAGACTTGCTTCTGTCTGCAAGGCCTTGGTCTGAGCCAGGCCAGTCTATTCTCTTCAGATGATGGGCCATGCTCCATGCCACAGCTCCGGAGGAAATCCAGGAGGGCTCCTACTGCTAGTGCGGGATGATCGCCCACCACCTTTTTGAGACCTAAATCCATGCTCCCGCCCACTCCACGACTATAGCTGCACCCCTCCTGCCATTCCAGGGGTAGCAGGTGACCCCAGGCAGGAGGAAGAGGTGTCAGCCAGAGCCACACCTCTGCTCAGACTCCTTCCCCACAGCCGCTCCTCTGGGTCTCAGGAACCACTTCCTCCTGACCTTCAGACCTAAGAGACAAAGGCTTCTCCTGCTTCCAGCCCTGCCACTTGGACCACCCTGGGCAGTTTTCCTAAACTTTGGTGGTACCTAATGTCTAGGGAGTCTTCCTCCAATCCCCTTTTGGATGATAGTCCTTTGGTTTTGATTTTATTCTCATATCTAAGTTTATTAGAGGGACCAAGCAAACATGATCTGGAGCCTCTGGTTCAGCTGAGGCCTAAGTATTTCCAGCGCAGTGAGTGGACCATGTGTGGGGCCAGCCAGTCTGGGAGGTGGCTCCTTTGGCAGTGGGTGCAGCCTTCGGTGCATGCATCCCTGATGGGCTGTGTGAGCACTCAACAGGCCGCTCCTGCGCAGAGAAGGCAGTGGGAACAGGGCTGATCACCCACAGACTGCCAGATCCATGTGGCCCAGACAGAGAGCACTTTCCGTCCTCACAAGCACCACTTTCCACTGTAGGGAGGCCAATCATTTAATTTAGACTGGACTGCACATTTTTATTCCAAGAAATTTTGTGTTCCCTCTTCTCTGTCTTCCCACAGATGACTTGTAGAATGGATGTGCCTATTCTATAGATGCCCTGTTCTCCATACGAAAGCTCCCCACTGCCAAGATGTGCCCTGTGCTAAATGCTAAGGGCTGTCTTTCTGGTTGAGCGTGAGGCCTACCCTTTGAACCGCAAGACCTAGGCCGTTGTGCAGAGTGATGGGAGAGCTCACCTACCTGCACAGCGGGAGCTCTGCACCATGGCGAGCAGCTGCCCTCTCCTGGCCCTGGCCCTGCAGCCGACATTCTCTCTTTCTGACTTTGGCTCTTTGAGAAGTCGCATGGAGCTGGAGTACCCTGGCTTCTGCCTGCTGCGTTTGGCCCCCTTCACGTAGCATCGCATCCTCGAGGTTGACCTGAGTTGTCACTTATTCCACGATCACCTCTGTCTAAGGCTGGGTGACAGTCCACTGCATGTGCATATCACATTTCCTTTACCCGTCCACCCGGCGGTTGCTTCCCTGTCTTGGCTGCTACAAATAATGCTACTGTAAATGTAAGAGGGAAGATTAGGTTTATGTCCAGTACTAGGATTGATGATTCTATTCCTTTTTGAGAGACTTTCATGTAGTTGTCTATATCAGCCACACTGCTTCACACTTTTCACAAGCAGTGCACAAGAGGTCCGGGGTCTCCGCACTGTTTCTAGCACTCATCTTTTTCCTGATGATGGTCATCCTAAGAGATACGAGGTAAAGTCTCATTATGGTTTTGATTTGCATTTGCCTGATATTGAGGATGTCGGCCACCTATTTTGTGTTCCTGTTGGCCATTTGCCTATGTTTAGAGAAATGAATGTCTAGTCAAAACTTCATCTATTCTTAAAATTGTTTTTTTTTCCTTGTGCTTTGGAGTTATTGTAGTTCCCTGTATGTTAAAAACATGAATATTTTACCAGATATATGATTTGGAAATATTTTCTCCCCCTGTGTAGGTTACTTTTCACTGTAGGAATAAACTTTACCATGGGTGTAAATGATTTGTACTCTGAAAACTACAAAACATAAGTGAAAATGACTGAAGAACTCACAGATAAATAGCCATCAGTTGTTCATGGAGAGAAAGCCTTACCATAAACATGCCCATATTACTGAAAGGGCACATAGGCAATGCCATCCCTATCAAAATCCTACTGACCATCTTCACAGAAATAAGGAACAAGCTCAGAAGTAATACGGAATCACAAAGGACCTCAACCAGCAAAACAACCTTGGTGAAGAACAAACTCACTCTTCTTAATTTCAAAATACATTACAAAGCCATACTTCCCCAAACAAGGTCATAGCGACTAAAGACAGATGTGTAGACCAAGGTGCAGAATGGTAGTCCAGAAAGAACCTAGCCTGGCCAACATATCTTCTAAAAGTCGGACAAGAATACATATGCAGGAAGGACAAACTATGATACAAATACTTTTGGGAAAAATCACATGAAAAAAGAATGAGATGAGATCGTTATCTTGTACCATACACAGAAAGGAACTCAGAGTGGATTGAAGCCTTAACTACAACCTGAACCTGTAAATTAATAGAAGAAAACAAAGAAAAAAGCCTTGGGAACTTGGCACAGGGCTGATTTCATAGAGATGGCTCTGAAAGCGCAAGCAAAAAAAGCAAAAATAAAATCAGTGGGTGAGGGCCAGCCAAATAGCTCAGTGGATTAAAGTGCATGCTTAGGCAGACACAGGGGTCAGAGGTTCGATCCCCAGCCTGCCGTGCCAGCCCTGCCCCAGGGTGCTCTGAGACTGCGATTGAGACTAGGCGTGGTGGCACAAGCCTGTAATCCCAGCTCTTGGGAGGCTCAACACAGGCAGATCACTATGAGTCCAATCTAAGTAGAGAGACCCTGTAGACCCTTACTAAAATACAAGGATTAAATAAATAA